GAGAGAGAGAGAGAGAACGTGTGATTTAAATCGTTGTAACGATTTTACATTCTCATCAACATAATTTATATATTTGAATAGATGACCGTGCCTGCAGGAGACAATCTTGGACTCATATGGATAAAATGTCCCATCAGAAAGTCAAAGACAGTGGATGAAATGCTTCCCCGAACCGAGTTCGAAGTCATGTCTGTGATTTAATTACAACGGGAAAGAGCCTTACCATTTTACAACAGACGCTTGTGTGAGTGTATGAGTGCGTGTGTGAGTGCGTGTGTGCATGTGTATGTGTGTGTGTGTGTGTGTGTGTGTGTGTGTGTGTGTGTGTGTGTGTGTGTGTGTGTGTGTGTGTGTGTGCGTATGTGAAAACATATTTTTATATTAAGAAAAAGGGAAACAGATAGAAACAGAAGACAAACAGCTGGAGACAGGAAAATCAAGTGTCAGACGTGAACTTTGAAGAAAACTTTCAAAACACAATGTTTTATTTCCCAAGAGGGGCTAAGAATACAGACGAAACACATTTGATTATATAATCAAGTACATCACAAACAAATTTTCAGTTTAAAAAGAAAACAAAAGGAATCCATTTACAGTGTGATTTAAACATCTTGAATAAAACCGTATAAACTATTAAAATATTACATAAAATGTGTGATCTCCTGTTGCCAAGTGTTGGGCTGACATTAAAAAACATGAGTTTGTAAACATAATATTGGAGATATTTGAAGATTCTTGTTTAACATGTCTATACCATCAATTTCGGAGTTGGAAAACTAGTAAAAATCACCCCTCAGCTACTGGCAATTCTTACTGTCCGAACTTGGTCCTACACACCGACCTAGAGTTCTATCTCCCGGCGTACACTGTCGACGTCTCCACCTCTTTCCGTTTTGACAGACGCTTGACCAGCGACTCCACTCTTGCCACCCCATACCATCCTGACCGCCAGCTTGACGGCTTCCTTGACGTTGACCCTGACCACTGTCTGAAATAGAGATGGGTCCTGTCCCTGGCAATGTCTGCACCAAGCAGTCCTTACGTTCTTGATCTGGGCCCTGACACGATCGCTTCCGACAGCCACGGGCACGTCTGCTCACGCCAAACACACAGGATGACCACTCTGTCCACTCCGTCCAGTCTTCCCGTCTTTGAGCTTCCGTTTCTTGGCACTCGCTCAGCTCGTAGGCGTCGCCTGAACATTTTTCGGAGCCCTGACACGTCCGCACCCGATAATGAACTTTCGCGAAGCAGTCTGACCAACTGCTCCACTCTGACCATTGTGGATCCCTCGTTCCCTCTAAATCCCTGTCTTCCCCACCCACGCATACTTTGGTTTGAGTGTCGAAGCCTGAACAGTGTTCTCCAGGACATTGCCTCTGTCTGCTCTGAAGACCCCCACTACACGGTGCCCATCGCTGCCATTGTTGCCATTGAGATTCTTCAGGGTCATTTGGATTTCTGCATCTCATTTTTTGCTCACCGACTCCTCTACAGCTCCGTGAACTGAGGCATCTCCTGTTTCTGGTCTTCTGGCTGAGGTAGCAATCCGACCACTCGCTCCAAGCACCCCAGGAAGAGTAGTAAGGCGCAGCTGTTGTGTAGGGGACAGGAGTCCTGGTATATCTACTACACCTGCGCCGTTCGTTCAGACCTGACCTTGAACACCCTTGTCCTTGACACTGGCGCTGTCGGAACTGGTACCCTTGCCTATCGCACTGTGACCATCGGGACCAGGGGCCATACTGGCTTCGCAGAGGCTGGGGAGATGGAGGAGAGCAACGTCTTTTGAACAAACAATTTGATCGGCTCCTCCCACCCCACCTGGGGTCATTGCAAGGTCCGTATCGCGACTGAAATCCGTTCCTACAGGCCGACCACTGAGGTCTTGGACTTTGAGGGTGATTGAACCCTGGAGGGAACTGGATGAAAGGACGCGGTCTATCGGAACTGTGAATGAAATTGGATAGCAGTGTTGGGGTTGTCATAGAAACGAAGAAAAGAGACATGAATTGTGTTTGTATAATGGCACGTACAAAGTTACAAAAACCTTTCAAACACGTTAAGCCTGCAGTGGAAACAGATTTAAATACAGAAGCAGACACCTGCTGGTCAGGGGAAATGCATTACCCTATTTTTTAGCAAAAAGTTAAGCATGTCTAGCTGAAGGGTACAGCCAAGTGACATTCCGTGTAGTAAGCGTATGGATTGTAACGCCTCTATCAACACTATAAGGTTGTAAATTAAGATGCAGACCTCCAAATGTAACATCCGTCTACAATAGAACTAGAGCAAATGGTCCGAGAGCCCTGAAAACCCCACAAAACAACTCAAATTCAAAAGCACTTTGTCAGAGATGCGATCCCAGGCCAGCCCCCCCCCCCCATACTTTAGCATTTTACCAACTGATCTAAGGGAGCTCTCACTTCCAATGTATTTCTATTGTTTCTTGACATTGGTTGAAATGTCTACTTAAGGATTATTTCATTAGACCATTGGAATACCAGAATCGTAAGCTCACAGCAATATTTGTTAAGTCCACCGAGTGAATTTCCTGCAAGAAAGTCGCTAAAGACACGAACAATAAACTCTTGGTTCTCAAGACGTTTCCTGTCTAGCACCAACTCCTTCACTCTTTCTTATAAAGGAAATATACGCCCAGTTCTTTGATGACATGACATCCTACATTAACATTCCCGCATCTTCTGAAAATGACCTTTCTGAATTGGTACATTGGTAAGTCTTCATTAAAGCATTTTATCAAAATGGTTGTTGCGGAAGTTTAAATTAAACAATATTTCCTAGAGGAGATGGACCTGGAATAGGGCGTCCTACAGTTTCGATAAGTATACTGTCCCAAAATGGACGTCAACACAACGTCGTACATTTTGGTCATGTCGAATCCAAGGTTAACTATTGCATGAGGCACGTTAAGAAATCGTAAACAGTGGGCGTCATCAACAATGAGAGATAATACATTTGATTGCAGCCCTCGGTTCCAACCTTAAATTGTCGCCGATGACAATAACCGCTTTATATAATGATTTCAATAAGAGGAGGAGCTTAGCTCACAACAGTCAAAACTTCCAAGAAATGAATGTAATCATTTTTTTAAAAACTCAATCTTGGTGAAAGAGTAACGTAGGAATTTCATTATGTGGAAAACTGTAAACTTCAAAGAATTTTTATATTGTTGAAAGTTTTAAATTCTCTGTAACTTTGGTTTTCTTTGATTTTCCCAAATGACAGAAGACAAGAGAAGAGGAGGGAAGGAAACCTATCCACGAGAGAAGTGGCGACCTAACCCTATCACAATGTTTTATTACGCTTCTCAAGGTCTTTACCGCCGAACCTTTTCAAATAATGCAAAACCAGGAAGAAATGTTGCTGACATTTCCGGGTACAATAGATCCTTCTTCAGCCATTCCGTCTGTGGTCACAATGGTTTCGAAGATGTATGACAGTTTCCTGAGCCCCGGTGCCACTTCAAGAGTCAGTGATAGTAGGCAATAAAATATTATTATCTCGCAGGGGAATGTAGCTAGTACTGATAGGTAAATAGCTTTGGCTGAATTACCTAATGTTTGATCGATACCGATGACACAACCAGGAAGAGGATGAACTTTGAAATAAACCTTGTGCACAATTTAATGCCTGTTTCAATCAAGTTATGCCATTATAAGGGCAACGTTTAAAAAAGTGTTTTCTTCCGCAGAACTGACCCGGGAGGGGATTTCCAATTTATTTATCTTTGTTTATTTTTTTACATTTTTACCTGGGGAATGG